TCGGAGTGTTCTATGGTCTGCTGGGGTAATAATATAGTGTAAAGCGCATAGAGCCTGCTGTTGAGCGGGGATATGCGCTATACAAATGCTATCTATTATTATTATTATTATTATTGTCTTATAGAGATGGCCATTATTAATACAGGTTCGACGACTGTATGTCTTAAGCTGCGAAGGAAAACAATGTGGATCTTTCAAGTGTTCATTATTGTGTGCCCATGATTTGAAAAGTCTGGTGCCCCCTGCTGTAGGTTAGCAAGCGTACTTAGTATGACGTACCTAGCAGGTGCCCGGAGAAACTCAAGAATCTTCCAGAGTGTATTTTTGCTTTAAAAGTTTCTTTGTATGACTAGCTCAATTAAAGAGTGGGGAGAGCTATGTCGTTTGTCAGAGTTGTATGGAGGGTTTATTTCTCCACGAGTCACAATAAAATCATGCTACTCAGTTCATATTAAAGTTTTGTTGCTCATTGTTTTATTTGCTATTGTAATATCATTACTTGATCTCAATCTTCTGGAGCCCTGGTGACTCTTATTTTATTTTCCAAACCTCGCTTTTTGTGTGTATGTGTGTGCTTGAATATAAGTGTGTGTGTGTGTGTGTGTGAAAGGGAAGAGGGGTTCTGTGGAATTTCGGTTTAGTTCATGGTGGGGTTGGCAGGTCTAGTCTAGTATAGTGCATCCTCTGTCTTAGCTTACCCATGCCTCTTCCTATACCAACAATAATTTCCTCCACAGGACGGAGAGAAAGCGTCGGGCGACGCCAGCGACAAGGACAAGGAGTCGAGCGGGGAGGACAAGTCGAAGAGCAGCGAGGACGTAGCCGAGAAGGACAAGGACGGAAAAGCCGTGGTGGAGGACAAGCCCAAAGAGGACGACCCTGCAGCTGTCGTGTCTACTGCTGCTGCTGCTGCTCTCGCCGCTGCGGCTGTCAAAGCCAAGGTATATTTTTATGTATATTTTATATTTATTTTTAAAACAATCAAAGCTGTGCTATATTTTCTGTATGTTATTTTATATATATTTTAAAAAATCAAAACAAAGGTATAATATTATCTGTATATTTTTTTTACCTGGTTTATATTATTGTTTTTTTTCCCCTTTTTTTTCTTTCTTCAAAGCTAAGGTATGTTTTTCAGTGTTTCAGGGTCTGCTGGGGAAATACTATAGTTTGTAAAGTGCATAAAGATTTCTTTTGAGCTGGGATATGGGTTTCTTAATGTGGTTTATTATTATTATCATTTTATCATTACCATTTTGTGTCTCCCCCCCCCCCCCTGCAGCATCTAGCAGCGGTGGAGGAGCGTAAGATCAAGGGCCTGGTGGCTCTGTTGGTGGAGACACAGATGAAGAAGCTGGAGATCAAGCTGAGGCACTTTGAGGAGCTGGAGACCATCATGGACAAAGAGAGGGAGTCGGTGAGTCGTCTCATGCTCAGTGAAAAACAAAAAATGGTATAGGTTTAACGCCCCTGTCAACGTTGTTAGGTTATTTATGAAGCGGGACCTCCGAGTTTAACGTCCATTTCTGAAAGGGCTGAGCCAAGTGAAAAATTGTGTAAAGTGTCTTTCCCAAGGACATACCCCTGAGCCTTCAATTTCACGATTATGAGTCCGGTAGCTTAACCACTAGGCTACGTACACCACTTCATGCTTAGTGTTCATTTCTCGTATCTAATGATAACTCATTGGTCGTTGGAGTGCAATGTTAGCTCAGCTAGCAGGCTTGTCAACTGTTTTGGATTCCTGATTTCAGGTTGTGCAAGAGTAGTCTATACCCCCCTACTTTCTCTCTGTTATTTCTGCCGTTCAGTTGTACTTTTCCTCTGGTGTAGACCTATTATTGCGTGGATGTGCTTCTCTTTACTCAACTGAAGCAAAATAAACAAAGCCTGTGTTTTCGCTCTCAACTGTTGTGTGGATGAAATGGGTGTTATTGTTTGGCCTTAATGGCTTAATGTGTAGATGTTACTTGCGTTTCCCTCCAACTTACTCTGTGACCTATGTATGTTACAAGTGCAGCAAAACTCATAGGCATCGGCTCTTCTAATGACAAGATGCAGCATTTGGAGAGAGGGGGGGGGGGTTGTTTGTGGTTTCCTAACTTACCGCAAATATATTTGCTTGTCTTACTTTACTGTATCCTCACATTGTATCAAATCTTCATTCTTTTCTTGAAGCTTTAGTGGGTAAAACATGCTTATGACTTGAAACCTTTCCTTTTATGCTGAAAATGTAAACATATATTTCTAACTAAAGATGCTGTGACAAAGCTGGGAAAAGCTGGAAATAAAATAAGCCTATGTCTTGTAAGAGTTGAACTACATTTAAAAACCCTGTGTGTCTCTGTCTCCTCCCCCCAGCTGGAGTACCAGCGGCAACAGTTGCTTCAGGAGCGCCAGCAGTTCCACATGGAGCAGATCCGTGCGGCTGAGTACCGGGCCCGGCAGTTTGCCACCCAGCAGATGATGGAGAGCAAGAGCACGTCGGGGACGCCTCCCCCGGTCAACGGTCACGACACCCAGGCCATGATGTCCTCGGGCCCGGGGGCCACCTCTGCCACGGCCCAGAACCCGGCCCTGGCGGCAGCCGTCAGTCAGAGCAGTAGCTACGCCATGCATGGCTCGCCCATGCCACCTCAGGGGCCACAGGTGAGACTCTCCATAGATTACATACCCC